TTTTTGTAGTTCCATTTCTATGGTACTATATTTTTATTTCTACTTTCTAAGGAATCACTGGCATGTAGAAATAATTGATATTTACATATTTATTTTAAATACAGCCACTTTGCTGTTTTTTTTTTTTTTTTGAGATCACGCTTTGCTTTTGTTGCCCAGGCTGGAGTGCAATGGCGTGATCTTGGCTCACTGCAGCCTCCACTTCCCAGGTTCAAGTGATTCTCCTGCCTCAGCCTCCCAAGGCTGGGATTACAGGCATGTGCCACCACACCCAACTAATTTTTGTATTTTATTTTTCGTGGAGATGGGGTTTCACCATCTTGGCCAGGCTGGTCTTAAACTCCTGACCTTGTGACCCACCACATCCAGCTGCTAAACTCTTATTAATAACTTATTCATGTACATAATCATATTATCTGTGAGTCAGTGCAGTTTTGTTTCATTATTTCTATTATTTATACTTAAAGTGTTTATATAATTGTTTTAATGTGCTGGTTAGGTTTTATTAATATTACAGCAAACTATTATGATGTTTGCTATTTTTTTTTTTTTTTTTTTTGAGACAGAGTTTCACTCTTGTTACCCAGGCTGGAGTGCAATGGCGCGATCTCGGCTCACCGCAACCTCCGCCTCCTGGGTTCAGGCAATTCTCCTGCCTCAGCCTCCCGAGTAGCTAGGATTACAGGCACGTGCCACCATGCCCAGCTAATTTTTTGTATTTTTAGTAGAGACGGGGTTTCACCATGTCGACCAGGATGGTCTCGATCTGTTGACCTTGTGATCCACCTGCCTCGGCCTCCCAAAGTGCTGGGATTACAGGCTTGAGCCACCGTGCCCGGCCCCTGTTTGCTGTAATATTATAATGTTTCCTTTCTGTGGGAAAACTTTGACTATTTCTCAGTTAATTATCATGTTTGCTGTTAAGATTTTTGTGGATAACCTCTATCAGACTAAGTAATTTCCCTTTTATTCCTAGTTTTTTATTGTAAATGGATGTTAAGTTGTTAATGTTTTTTCTATTGTATCTATTGAAGTTAAATTGTTAATGTTGTTTTTGCTATTGTATCTAATGTATCTATTGAAGTTATTTATGATTTTTTTTTCTTTAATCTGTTAATGTGGCATATTGATGCATTTTCTTTTTTTTCTAGTTAACAACAGCTTTGGTTTTCTGGAATAACTTCAGTTTGGTCAAGTATTATTTTTATTTAGTGCTGGGTTTGATTTATGAATATTCTGTTTATGTATATTTCTGTTTATCAGTGAACTTGATCTATAATTTTTTTATTCTTTTCACAAGGTTTTATTATGAAGGGTTTCTAGTCTGATAAAATAACATTGGGGAATGTACCCTTGTTTTCTAATTTTTGGAAATAGAACAGCTTGCAATGTTGGTATAACTTGTCATTAAAGCTATTTGTGCCTGGCATTTTCTTTTTTGGAATTTAAAAAAACATTCTTTAATTTCTTTAGTGGCTATGAGGTAGGTTTTATTATTTCTTGAGTCAGTTATATGAATGTTAATGTTTTTCTAAGAATTTTTAAATTTTGCGTAATTTTAAACGTATTGATATAGACCAGGCACAGTGACTCACATCTGTAATCTCAGCACTCTAGGGGACCGAGGTGGGCAGATCACTTGAGGTTAGGGGTTCACGACAAGCCTGGACAACATGGTGAAAAAAAACCCATCTCTACTAAAAATACAAAAATTAGCCAGGGTGGTGATATGCACTTGTAATCCCAGCTAGTGGGGAGACTGATGAGTCAGGAGAATTGCTTGATCGCAGGAGGCAGAGGTTGCAGTGAGCTAAGATTGTGCCACTGCACAATCTGGGCGACAGAGCAAAAACTCTTTTCTCAATCAGTCAACAAATTAAAATTTATAATGTCTGTATTGGTCTCTTGTGCACAAACATGTCAGTGATATATAGTAGTATTTTTAGTACAGGCATGGTTTCACGGTGTTGGCCAGGCTGTTCTTGAACTCCTGACCTCATGATCTGTCCACCTCAGCCTCACAAAATGTTGGGATTACAGGCATGAGCCACTATGCCCGGCAGTGACATACAATGGTAAATGTTTATTTCTTACTCTGTGGTTCAGTAAAGTGGTTTGTCCTCGGTCCTTAGGCTATCTCGAGCAGCTTTATTTGGGTTACAGATTGACTGGGGCAGTTCTGTTTCAGTCTGCCTCTTCACTGGGGTGAGTTTGCTTAGACTGTGTTTCAGCTGGGATGGCTTTGTGACATGTCTCATTCTTGGGACTATACCAGAGGAGCAGTGGGCTGTGTCTGGGTATTCTTCTGGCGGAGACAAATGCACAAGAAAGCAGACTCAACTGTACATCACATTTCAAGCCTTCTGCTTGCATCACATTCACTGAAATCTCGTTAACCAAAAGCAAACTATATGACCAAATCTAAAGTTAAGGTATAGGGACTATAATATGCAGCCCAGCCACCATGAGGCTATGATGGGAATGTATATGCTTAATATAACATGATAATGAATTCAAATCACTGTTTTAGGTGACATATTTTATTAGTCCTTTGTGAAATATCACAAATGATTTAATGTTATCTACTTTTGTAATTCTTAACAGCCAAAATGTACATGATTTGAATAGTTATTCTTACTTCTGTAATACATGATTTGAATAGTTATTCTTAGCTCTGTAAACCAGTTCTTTTCAGCAATTTTATTCATGTAACTGCTGGATCCAGGGTGAAATTTCAACATATTGAGTGAGATCTAAGGACTTAACCTAAATAGGAAATGTAAGTAGGTATCTGGTATTTTGATCAGTTTGACTTCCAAGTAGTCAGTACTATAAGAAATATGTATTATTTTGTTATTCAGTAATTGTCAAAAACCTCCTGAACGAAGCAGTCAAGAGTACCAAAGTGTCAGTCCATCAGTAGATGATCCAAAAGAAAAAGGTTCACATTCTAGCAGTATAATAAAGTGCTTTTGAGCTCTTATATTAAATCTAGAGCTTAAGATAGTTCTGTTCATTCAGTGGCTCTGAACCCTAACTTTACACTGTAAAAACACACACACATACACACGCGCGCGCGCGTACGTTGTTGTTGGTGTTGAGACTGAGTCGCAGTCTGTTGCCCAGGCTGGAGTGCACAATCTTGGCTCACTTTAACCTCTGCCTCTGCCTCAGCCTCCCGAGTAGCTGGGACTGCAGGTGCATGCCACCATGCCCAGCTAATTTTTGTATTTTTAGTAGAGACAGGGTTTTGCCGTGTTGGCCAGGCTGCTCTCAAACACCTGACCTTAAGTGATCCACCTGCCTCGGTCTCCCAAAGTGCTGAGATTACAGGCATGAGCCACCGTGCCTGGCCAAAAATGTGTATTTTTACCTAGGTTCACCCCAAGATGGTTCATATATGCAGCCAAGGTTAAGAACCAGCACTTTATTAGGCCAGTGTGAGGACGAGTTTTAATAAAATTGTATTGCAGTAATTTTCAGACTATCAATATATTCCTTTGAGATGGCTGCTTCCTGAGAGAGGCTAGTAATCTGTCAGACTAGCTAACTTGAAAACTGTTTTGAAACTTAAAAACACCTTTAAAATAGCATATGTGAGTTTGTGAGGATATAAAGAGAACTCCCCCTGGCAAAAACAAAGAAATTTGAAATTTGAAAGAAATTTGAAATTTAAAAACCAAAGCTGTTTGAATTGACTTTGGAGTCATTCTAAAATAATTTGCCAATCTGGGTAACGTACGGATTAGCTTATATCGCTAAACAAAACACTCCAAAACCTAGTGGCCTAAAATAATTATTTAGCTGATAATTCTTTGTTTTAATAATTTCAGCTGAGCTTAGCCTGGCTGCTGTCATCTTAGCTGGCTCAGATGATTAGTTGATGATCTGGCTGGGAGCTGGGAGTCTAGGATGGCCTCAGCTAGGACAGTTTGTCTCTGTTCCAGATTGTAAATCATCCTTTAGCTGCTAACCTTGGTTTACTCTTAATGACAGTAGAGCAGGATTCCTAAAGATAAGGAAAGAGTGTATAAAGCCACTTGTAAGGCATAGGCTCAGAACTGCGACACTTGTTTCTGCTGGCCTAAGCAAGCTATAGATTAGGACTTGGATTTAAGACTTAGAGAAAGAGATTTCCAATCTTGGTGGGAACAATTGCAACAGTCATACTGTATAGGATGTGAGTATGGGGAGAGGGATAATTTCAGCCACTTTAAAACAATATTCCACAAATTGCAAAGAGGCAGGAGATAAGATCTAAGACCCAATAGAAGCAAGGGCAAGACCTGGAGGTACCATGTCCTCTCAGTAAAACTGTTTCATGGAAGGGGTACACAATGAAATATTGCCCTGCTTACATAAGGAGACTTTCTGAGGAGTTGGATAGGTTTACTGAGAGTGGATTGGTAGGTCATCCTTAGCTTCAGTTCTGTGGTTTCTTAGGTTTACTTCTACTATAGTACCTCCAGAGGAGTTTTGATGACTACTTAAAGAGATCACATTCCTCAGAAGAAAGGAAACATTGTTTCTGTTATGCCTAGGTATATATAACAACCTTCTGACTGGTACTAGATTACTTCCCATTTCTTAGCCTAAGATTTCTGGGTGATGCCCAAATGGAGGACTTTGATAGACCATAGCTCTGGACTAGAACTTGACAAGGGAAGTAGTGGGGACTTCCTTGGACAAGATAATTAGATGCTACTCTGGAGCTGAACCATTTATTGTAAGGGATTTCTGTATAGACCTGGGCCTTTTAAAATTTAAACATTAGTGGAAATTTTCTGTACCATGCTCGTGTAGCCTGCCTGTATGATACAGAATTCATTTTATATATTAAAGCTGCTAATGAATATTTTGTACAAAAGCTTTAGAAGTACTAAATTTATTAATTTATTTTTTGAAAAGAAAAATTACCTCTTGATATTTTCTCTGCTTTTGTCATTGTAAATTGTTGGAAGATAACATTAAGTCTGAGGTTTTCTATCATTTTACTCTAGGCAGCACACTTCTGCTTTTGTTCCTTCATCAGGACGAATTTACTCTTTTGGGCTTGGTGGTAATGGGCAGCTGGGAACCGGTTCAACAAGCAACAGGAAAAGTCCCTTCACAGTGAAAGGAAATTGGTACCCTTATAATGGGCAGCGTCTACCAGATATTGGTAAGTTCTGTTTTATTAAAGCTTTCCTTCATATATTAAAGTTCTTGTTAAAATGTTAGTCTTAAATCATGAAAATTTCTGCAGAAGATTCCAAGATATATTGTTAAGTGAAAACAAATGGAGAACAATGTATGTGATGGTTTGATTTGCTTATATTTACTAGTAAATTCATAAAGAAATTCTGGATAAATAAAAGTTACTTTCAGAGAGTGGGACACACGGGAACTAAGTGGTAGCTAGATACCAGTGGGTGGGAGATTTTTTTGTTTTCTATTTTAAATTGTGGTAAAATATGCACAACATAAAATTTACAGACTTAAGCATTTTTTAAGTTTACAGTTAAGTAGCATTAAGTATATTCACGTTACTGTGTAACCAATCTCCAGAACTCCTTTCATCTTGAGGAACTAAAACACTGTATGCATTAAACAGCAACTCTTCATTCCCTCCTCCTTCTAGTGTCTGGCAACCACTATTCTACTTTCTGCCTCTATGGATTTGACTTAACGCTAGGCTAGGTACCTCAAAGAAGTGGAATCATATAGTAGTGTCTCTTTTTGTGACTCACTTATTTCACTAAGCATAATGTCCTCAAGGTTCATCTATGTTGTAGCATGTGTTAGAATTTCCTTCCTTTTTAAGCTGTATAATTCAGACATACCTTGGAGATATTGTGGGCTCAGTTCCAGACCACTGTAATGAAGCAAATATTGCCATAAAGCAAATATCGTAATAAAGCCAATCACAAATATTTGGTATCCTAGTGGATATAAAAGTTATACTTATACTATATTGTAGTTTACTAAGTGTGCAATAATAAAATTGTCTTAAAAGACTGTGTGTTTAGTCTTTAGTTTAAAAATATACTTTATAATTTCAGTTTAAAAATATACTTTATTCCTTAATAATGCTGACACAGAGATGTGAAGTGAGTACATGCTGTTGGAAAAATGGTGCTGATAGACTTGTTCTGTGCCGAGTTACCTGAACCTTCAATTTGTGAAATTCACAGTATCTGAGAAGCACAGTAAAGTAAAGCAAAATGAAATGAGGCATGCCTGCATTCTTATTATATGGATGTGGTTTGTGGCACCCAAAACAATTACAATAGTAACATCAAAGATCACAGATCACCATAAAAGATATAATAATAATGAGAAATATTGAAATATGAGAATTACTAAAGCTTATAAGCTTTACTGAATTTTCGATACTGAATTTTTACAAATTGAAGGTTTTTGGCAACACTGCATTGAGCAAGTCTATTGGCACCATTTTTCCAACAGCATATATGCTCACTTTGTATTTTTGTGTCACATTTTGGTAATTCTTACAATATTTCAGACTTTAATGTTGTTATTATATGTGTAATATGATCTGGGATATGTGATCATTGATGTAATTGTTTTGGGGTGTCATGAACCTTACCTATATAAGACAACAAACTTAATTGATAAATGTGTATGTTCTGACTGCCCCACCAGCTGGCCATTTCCATCTGTCTCCTCTCGTTGGGACTTCCTGTTCTTTGAGGCACAATGATGTTTAAATTAGGCCAGTTAATAACCCTACAAATGGCCTCTAAGTATATAAGTGAAAGGAAGAGTCACACATCTCTCACTTGAAATCAAAAGCTAGAAGGGATTATGTGTAGTGAAGAAGGCATGTCAAAAGCTGAGACAGGCTGAAAGCAAGGCTTTCTTATGCCAGTTATCCAAGTTGTGATTGCAATTTGAAGAAAATTAAAAGTGCTACTCTGGTGGACACATGAATGGTAAGAAAGTGAAAAATAGCCTTATTACTGATATGGAGAAAATTTTAGTAGTCTGAATAGAAAATCAAACCAGCCACAACATTCCCTTAAGCCAAAGTCTAATCCGGACCAAGATTCTAACTTTCTTCAAGTCTCTGAAGGCTGAGAGAGATAAGGAAGCTGCAGAAGGAAAGCTCGAAGCTAGCAGAGAGTAGTTCATGAAGTTTAAGGAAAGAAGCCATCTTCATAACATAACAGTACTGATGTAGGAGCTACAGCAAGTTATCTAGCATGTCTAGCTGAGGTAATTGATGAAGGTGGGTACACTAAACAACAGATTTTCAGTGTCGACAAAACAGTCTTCTATTGAGAAGATGTCTTCTACAACTTTGTTTTATAGCTGAGAGAAGTAGTCAATGCCTAACTTCGAAGGACAGGCTGACTCTCTTTTAGGGTCTAATGCATCTGGTGACTTTAGGTTGAAGTCGGTGCTCATTTACCATTCCGAAAATGCTAGGGCCCTTAGGAATTATGCTAAATCTATTCTGCCTGTGTTCTATAAATGGAACAACAAAGCCTGGATGACAGCTCATCTGTTTACAGCAGGGTATACTGAATATATTAATGTGGGCTTAAGCCCACCGTTGAAACTCATTACTCAGTTAATAGAGTGCTTTCAAAATATTGCTGCTTGTTGACAGTGCACCTGGTCATATCAAACATCTGATGGAGATATACATGGAGATTTCTGTTTTCATGCCGGCTAATACAACATCCATTCTGCTGCCCTATCAAGGAGTAATTTTGACTTTCAAGGTTTATTATTTAAGAAATACATTTTGTAAGGCCTTAGTTGCCATATATGGTGATTCCTCTGATGGTTCTGGGTGGAGTAAATTGAAAACCTTTAAAGGATTCACCATTCCAGTTACTGTTAACATTTGTAAAGTCAGAAATTACTTGAAGCCAGCAGTTTGAGACCACCCTGGGCAACGTAGTGAGACACTGTGTCTACAAAAAATAATTTTAAAAAGCCAGGTGTGGTGGTACATGCTACTTGGGAGGCTTAGGTAGGAGGATTGCTTGAGCTCAGGAGTTGAAGGTTTATAGTGAATTATGATCATGCTAATGCACTCCAGCCTGGGCAACAGAGTGAGACCCTGTCTCTGATTCATGGGAGGAAATCAAAATGTCAACAATAAGAGGAGTTTGGAAGAATTTTGTTCCAAACCTCATGGATGAGTGAGGGGTTCAAGACTTCATTTGAAGAACTTAACTATAGATATGATGGAAATAACAAGAGAACTAGAATTAGAACTAAAGCCTGAAGATGTGACTGAATTGCTGCAATCTTACAATGAAAAATATTCCTTATCCAGTCCCAGGACATCAAAGCTCTGCAGAAAGAACTTAAGAAATTTGCCAAGCTTCTGAAGCAGAAGAGGATCACCCTGGATATACACAGGCCAATGTGGGGCTCACCCTGTGGGTTCTGTTTGGGAAGGTGTTTGGCCAAATGACCATTTGCTACTTTGAGGTTCTGCAGCTTAGCTTAGGGCATATATCAGCTGTGGCGCATATATCAGCTGTGGCCGGTGCTGCAGAAGTGTGTGGAGGAAGCTGACAACAGTGAAAATCTTCAGGAGATATGCAAAGCAGAAACACTTGTTTCAGCCCCGAAAGAGAAAGTGAAACAGTATTGAAAACCAAGTAAGAGGCAACCTGGAGAATTTGTTCCTGCAGTGCCCAAAACCCACACTGTAGCAGATCAGCCACATCGCCCACCACTTGGGCTCGAGAAGGATGTGATCTGAGTGTGGTTCTGTAATGGGTGCCGGAGCGCAAGCGATCAAGCAGTGACTATGCACAATGAGAGAATTTTGAGGATACTAGGTCTCTCTTCTCAGGGGGACCAGTGTCCTTTCCTCTGGCCCCAAGGCCCCATTTTGGTACCCCAGGCTATGGGAGCCCTCACTTCACTGCACTGTACTCCTTGGTCCCTTTCCTCATTTCCATCACCACTCTGGGCGCTCCTATGCATTAAAACTGAGGTGCCTGCCCTTCTAGGAATGGGGGACGGGGAGAGGGGAGAAGCTAGGGAAAGAGAACCCAGAGTTTGTGCCAGGGCTTTTGAGATTAAGTTCTTCATTCACTAAGGAAGGAATTGGGAACACAAAGGGTGGGGGCAGGGAGTTTGGGGCAGCTGGTTGGAGGGAAGGAGAAGTTTAGTGATGTTCTTGATTTTAATCTTCATATCATATATCACTTTTTTCTTAAAGGAGCTTAGAGCACAGTAGAGAAGAAAAAAAAAAGAAAAATACTCCTCATCCGTTCATGTTTTATGGATGAGCAAAGAAGGTGTTTTCTTGAGATGGAATCTACTGCTGGTGAAGATGCTATGAACATTATAGAAATTACATATTATAGAAATGACTATTTCATAAACTTAGTTGACAAAGCAGCAGGCGGGGTTGAGAGGGTTGTCTCTACTTTTGAAAGCAGTTCTGTGGGTAAAATGCAATCACACAGCATCTCCTGGTATAAAGAAATATTTTATGAAAAGAAGAGTTAATCAATGTAGTAAACTTTGTCACTGTCTTATTTTAAGAAATTGCCACAGCTACTCCAGCAATCATCACCCTGATCAGTCAGTAGCCTGACATTGAGGTGAGACCCTCCATCAACAAAAGATTAAGACTCTCAAAGGCTCAAATGATCATTAGCATTTTTTAGCAATAAGTGACTTTAAATTAAGGTATATACTTTTTTTTTTTAAAGATATAATGCTATTGCACACTTAATGGACTACAGTATATTGGGCCAGGCACAGTGGCTTATGGCCGTAATCTCCATGCTTTGGGAAGCCAAGATGAGAGAATCACTTGAGGCCAGGAGTTTGGAACAGCTGGGGCTACATAGTGAGACTCTCATCTCTATAAAAGGAAAAAAAAAAAGCCCAACTCTATCAATGGACTACAGTATTGTATAAACTTTTTTTTTTTTTTTTTTTTGAGACAGCGTCTTGATCTGTCACCCAGGCTGAACATGCAGTGGTGCAGTCAGTTTACCACAACCTTCACCTCCTAAGTTCAAGTGATTCTCCTGGCTTAGCCACCTTAGCAGCTAGTATTTCAGGTGCGCACCACCACATCTGGCTCATTTTTTTAGTATTTTTAGTAGAGACAGGGTTTCAACATGTTGGTCAGGCTGGTCTTGAACTCCTGGCCTCATGTGATCTGCCCACCTTGGCCTCTTAAAGTGCAAGGATTATAGGCGTGAACCACTGTGCCCAGCCTAGTGTAAACATACTTTTACATGTACTATGAAACCAAAAATTTGTGTGACTTGCATTGTGATATTTGCTGTATTGCAGTTGTCTGGAACCAAACCCTAAATATCTCTGAGGTATGCATATGCCACGTTTTGTTTATTCATATGTCAGTGGACAATTGCGTTGTTTCTACCTTTTGGCTATTGTGAATAATGCTGCTATGGATATAGGTTTACAAGTATCTCTGAGATTCTGCTTTCAGTTCTTTTGGGTATATACAGGAGTGTTAATTATTTTCTATTCTTTAAAATTGGAACTCTTTGAGTCTATTGCTTATTAAAAATATTTAAAAATTTTGACCCAGAAATGGACTCAGCACATAAGGACCATTTTCCACATCCATATGATTATATCCCAACGAGTCATCAACATCCATTCTCCTGCCTGCTAAACTATCTTTGAAAAACCCTAGCTTTCAAATTTCTATGGAGACTGATTTGAGTAATAAAACTCAAGTCTCCTATTTAAAAACACCAAAAAATTTTTTGGCTAGAAGGGAAGCTACTGCCCTGAAAACAAAGACACAGGCCTAACAGGATTCATCACCTGCTGACTAAAGAGCCCTTGGACTTTGAATAAACATAACAATAGACAGGAATTAGTTGCCACATGCCTTGGGTGAGACCTAGTACTGTAAGGTGTGACCCAGCACAGTCTCAGCAGTGGTGGCTATGGGGGTGCTTGCGTCACTTCTCTCCAAACTCTTAAGAATCTCAGCGCAGAGAGAGAAACTTCATCTGTTTAGGGGAGAGTAAAGGAGGAGAACAAGAGACACTGCCTTCTCTCAGATCTTACCCGAGTTCACCAAGGTAGTACCACTATGAATTGGCAAGAGTCAAAGTTTTGCTGGACATGGTGATGTGTACATGTAGTTCCACCTACTTGGGAGGCTGAGGCAGGAGGATCACTTGGGCTTAGGAGCTCTGGGCTATAATGTGCTGTGCTGATTGGGTATCCGCACTAAGTTCAACATTGATATGGTGACTTCTTAGGAGTTGGGGGCCACCAGGTGGCCCAGGTTAGAAACGGAGCAGGTCAGAACTCCCGCACTGATCATTAGTGGGATTATGCCTGTGAATAGCCACTGTACTCCAGCCTGGGCAACCATAATGAGACCTGTCGCTTAAAAAAAAAAGAAAAGGCCAGTGTGGTGGTTCATGCCTGAAATCCCAGCACTTTGGGAGGCTGAGGCAGGCAAATCACCTGAGGTCAGGAGTTTGAGACCAGCCTGGCCAACATGGTGAAACCCCATCTCTACTAAAAATACAAAAATTAGCCGGGTGTGGTGGTGTGCGTCTGTAACCTCAGCTACTCGGGAGGCTGAGGCAAGAGAATCGCTGGAACCTGGGAGATGGAAGCTGCAGTCGTGAGCCAAGATTATGCCACTGCACTCCAGCCTGAGTGACAGAACAAGACTGTCTCAAAAAAAAAAAAAAAAAAAATAGTGTTACTGGGCTTGGAGTGGCTCCTATTGTAGATGGCTGCAGTGACTAAACACTTTAGATCATTACACTGAATTCCTTTTGAATGCTTAGAAAGCCTTCCCAAGAAGTTCAGTTACAAACACGCACAGACTGCAAAGATTAGGATTAATACCTGACTCTTCAGTGCTTAGACATGATGAAAATTTGGAAGCATCAAGACCATCCAGGAAAACGTGATCTCACCAAACAAATGAAATAAGTCACTAGTGACCAGACATGAAGAGACAAAGCTACATGATGTTTCAGATTCAAAACAACCGTTTTGAGGAATCGCATCGAAACTGAAAATAAACAGAGAGGTTCAGAATCCTATCAGATAAAGTTAACAAAGAGATTGAAACAATGGTAAAATATCAAAGAGAAATTCTGGACTTCAAAATTCAGTTGACAACCTGGAGAATGCATCAGAGGCTCTCAACAGAATTGATCAAGCAGAAGAAAGAATTAGTGAGGATAAAGACAAGCTGTATGAAAGTGTACAGAGCTAACAAAAGAAAAAAGGGAAATACTCCCATAGCATCTGGAAAATAGCCTCAAAGGGGCAAATCTAAGGATTACTGGCCTTAAAGAGGAGGTAGAAGGAGAGAGAGAGATAGAAAGTTTTTTAAAAAGCTAATAACAAAGACCTTTTCAATCCTAAAGAAAAATACCAATATTGAAGTGCAAGGTTATAGAACACCAAGTGTATTTAACCCAAATCAGACTACCTCAAGACATTTGATAATCAAACTTTCAAAGGTCAGGGATAAGGAAAGGATTTCAAAAGCAGCAAGAGAAAACAAACAACATACAATGGGACTCTGGTACATCTGACAGCAGACTTCTCAGTGGAAACCTTACAGATTAGGAGAGAATGGCATGACATACTTAAAGTGCTAAAGGAAAATAACATTTAGCCTAGAATATTATATCCAGTGAAAATATCCTTCAGATGTGAAGGAGAAATAAACACTTTCCCAAACAAACAAAAGCTGAGGAGCGGCAAGATGCAGTGCAGTGGCTCATGCCTGTAATCCTAGCACTTTGGGAGGCTGAGGCAGGTGGATCACCTGAGGTCAGGAGTTCGAGACCAGCCTGACCAACATGGTGAACCCTCGTCTCTACTAAAAATACAAAAAAAATATTAGCCGGCTATGGTGGCGGGCGCTTGTAATTCTAGCTGCTCTGGAGGCTGAGGCAGGAGAATCACTTGAACCCGGGAGGCGCAGGTTGCAGTGAGCCAAGATCGCACCATTGCACTCCAGCCTGGGCAACAAGAGGGAAACTCCATCTGAAAAAAAAAATGCTGAGGAGTTTTATCAACAGCAGACTTGTCCTATAAGAAAATGCTAAAGGGAGTTTTTCCATTCCAAAGGAAAAGGACATTAATAAACAATAACAAATCATCTGAAGGTCTAAAACTCACTGGTAATAGTACACAGACAAATACAAAATATTACAACATGAATTGTGTTGTACAAACTACTCATCTTGAGTAAGAAGACTAAAATATGAACAGATAAAAAATAACTATAGCAACTTATAAAGACATACAGTAAAATAAGATATAAATAGAAATAACAAAATTAAAGAGCAGGGGAAAAAAGAAAGTGTAAAGTTTTTTTAATCAGTTTTCTCTTTGCTTATTTGTTTTTGCAAAAGAAACTTTGTTTGTTGCGCTTTCCTTATTCCTAAAAAACTTCTTAATATACACATTTTTGGGCCTAATTTGGTTTTTTACTGACAAATAGCTGCCAATAAACAGCTGTATGTATTATCTTGTATACTTAAACTGAAAAAAAATAGTTTTGTATTATGAAATATTTACTCAAGAAGTTCTCGTTGTTATTTCTTTTTAAGAATATATATTTTTTAAGAGATAGGTCTTGCTATGTTACCTTGCTGGAATGCAGTGGCTGTTCACAGATGTAATCATAGCATACTGCAGCTTTGAATTTGGCTCAAGCCATCTTCCTGCCTCAGCCTCCCAAGTAGCTGGGGACTATAGGCATGTGCCACTGTAGCCCAGTTCAAGAATAAATGATTTTTTTTTTAGATAGAGTCTTACTCTCTGGTCCAGGCTGGAGTGCAGTGGCATGATCTCAGCCCACTGCAACCTCCGCCTCCTGGGTTCAAATGATTCTCCTGTCTCAGCCTCATGAGTACCTGGGATTACAGGCATACACCACCATGCCTGGCTAATTTTTGTATTTTTAGTAGAGATGGGGTTTCACTATGTTGGCCAGGCTGGTCTCGAACTCCTGACCTCAAGTGATCCTCCTGCCTTGGCCTCCCAAAGAGCTGGGATTACAGGCATGAGCCATTGTGCCCTACCAAAAATGTTCTTAAGTTTTATTTTCTTCTAGCTGTCTTTTGTAGCTTTCATTCTGTTTTTTTAAAATCATTTTTTGTTTAAAATGAAATATACTGAGATGCAAATTAGAAAATGTTTTTTTTTTCTTAGTGCAGGCCAGAATAAAGGCTTGTAAACTTCACCAAATGCTGCTTATGCTTGTGGGATCGTTTAATGTTCATCATTTGGTCAGTCTTATCCCCATAGCAGTCAGAATATTTCAAGTCACTTTATATCATGGAGTCCATGAATGGGAGGCCTTATTAAATTAGATGAATATGTGAAAATCTAATGGCATATTTGAAAGTTTGAAATATATTATCTAAATCTTGGCTTTTAATTTTTTACATTTTTATTACAGATTCTGAAGAATATTTTTGTGTAAAAAGAATTTTCTCAGGGGGAGATCAAAGCTTTTCACATTACTCTGGTCCCCAGGTAATAATGTAATCATGTAAATACTTAGTTCCAATAATTTTGACAAATTAAAAAAAACCCATACTTAATGTTCTTTATATGTTACAAAGTAATTGCCCTAGTTTTTTCCCCTCAAGTCTATAGAATAAATTTTTTCTGATCTATTAGATAGGTTTTTGTTTCAGGTGTTCAGTAATTCTGTTTAAAACACAAATACATAATGGGGTTTTTGAGTTATATATAATATCTCTTCTCTTTGACTAATCTTATTTGAAAATTTAGAACTGTGGGCCACCAGATGACTTCAGATGTCCCGATCCTACCAAGCAGATCTGGACAGTGAATGAAGCTCTAATTCAGAAATGGCTGAGCTATCCTTCTGGAAGGTTTCCTGTGGAGATAGCCAAGTAAGAAAAGCATTTTGGGCCACGCACAGTTGGCTAATGCCTGTGATCCCAGCACTTTGGGAGGCCGAGGCAGGCAGATTGCCTGAGCCCAGGAATTGGAGACCAGCCTGGGCAACATGGCAAAACCCCATCTCTAAAAAAAATACAAGTGGCTATGTGTGATGGCACACTTGTGGTCTCAGCTACTTGGGAGGCTGATGTGGGAGGATCACCTGATCCTGGGAGGTCAAGGCTGCAGTGAGCTGAAATTACACCATCGCACTGTAGCTTGGGCAACAAAGTGAGAACTTGTCTCCAAAAACAATCTATTATAATAGATATTTTTAAAGACCTTAATTAAATATGCATAAGTTGTAGTTCTTTCATGTACATAGAGATATGTTAAATGATAACATAAAATATTAAATGTAGCCATTTTAGGATTGGCCTTGAAATGTCTTCTTTCTAGTTTCATAATGGTCAGTATCTTAACTTTTAGACTTTTTGAAAGACTTGAATATTATTTGTTTCTTGAATATTTTGTTAACCCGTCTAGTAGTACTTAAGATTTTGTTATTTGGTTTTTGTTGGTATTTGGGATGACGGGTTGTATTTGAAAGCTGTTTTGTTTTTCTAGCTTGTTTTCCAAAACTATACTTTTTCTGAAAATCCCAAAGATATCCCTGATTAGACTTATTGCCAATATGGAATTTAAAATAATTTTTTTAAGGCCAGGCACGGTGGCTCACGCCTTTAATCACAGCACTTTGGGAGGCCGAGGAGGGTGGATCACGAGGTCAAGAGATCGAGACCATCCTAGTCAATAAGGTGAAACCCCGTCTCTACTAAAAATACAAAAATTAGCTGGGCATGGTGGTGTGTGCCTGTAGTCCCAGCTACTCGGGAGGCTGAGGCAGGAGAATTGCTTGAATCCAGAAGGCAGAGGTTGCAGTGGGCCAAGATCGTGCCATTGCGCTCCAGTCTGGGTAACAACAGCGAAACTCCGTCTCAAAAAATAAAAATAGATAAAAAAAATAAAAAATTTTTTAATTAATAAAACTTTTTATCTGAATATACACACTTAATTTTTGAAATTCCATGTTTTAAAGTAGATAACTTAATTCGTTTGATAAAGCAATGAAAGTAATATTTGAGAAAGTGTATGGTAAATAGTAATACCTTTATCAAGTATTATTTTATCAGTCTTTAGCAATTTATATAATTCTGATTCACCTAATTGGGTGTTAGAGAAGTACTCTGTAACATTATATTAGATTCATATTCATTTTAATTCTTTTTTAAGAAACGGTGAACAATTAAATTCCCAATTCTGTGATTTAAAAATTTTTTTTAAATTTTTTAGTGAGATAGATGGAACATTTTCTTCCTCTGGTTGCCTAAATGGAAGTTTTTTAGCTGTTAGGTAAGTGGCAATTCTTTAATATGCTGAAATTTTCAAATTTGTTGTATTAGTATATCAATTTTTAAAATGAAGTGTGTCAAATTTTAAAATGAAGTAATTTTAAAGTTTTATTCTGTTTTTTTATTCTTTTCTGTTTTTTAGCAATGATGATCACTATAGAACAGGTACCAAATTTTCAGGGGTTGATATGAATGCTGCTAGGCTTTTATTCCACAAACTTATACAACCTGATCATCCGCAGATATCTCAGCAGGTCTGTTTTTAAAGTATTATATTTACATTATTATCTGTTGATTTTTTGTTGTTGTTCTGTGTTATATGTTTATAGCCTAATTTACTTTGCAGTTTCACAGACTCTTATGTTGTGCTTTTAAAATAAGATTTCATTTTAAATCATTTGTAATTTAGCTGTCAAAGATCTGTATATCTTTTCAGATGTTTGAAGCAGACCCTGAATTACTTAACATTACCATGTTGCTTCAGTTTGTGTATAGTTACAGAGGTAGATATTTTAAATTGAGACTTGTACAGATGATTTTTTAAATTCTCCAAGCAATGCTTAGGCATTAATTTTCATTGTGCTGTAAAGTATATTCATTGTAAGACTTTGTCTTTCTTTTTTCTTCTTCACCATTTCGTGTTTGCTGTAGTGCAAAATTTTCCTTTTCTTTCTCTTCTTCCTGCCTTCCTTTTTTTTTTTTTTTGAAAGTGTATTCATTTTAAATGAAGTAGGTTTTACTTTTTGTCAAAATATAGGTGGCAGCTAGTTTGGAAAAGAATCTTATTCCTAAACTGACTAGCTCCTTACCTGATGTTGAAGCATTGAGGTTTTATCTTACTCTACCAGAATGTCCCCTGATGAGTGATTCCAACAATTTCACAACAATAGCAATTCCCTTTGGTACAGCTCTTGTGAACCTAGAAAAGGCACCACTGAAAGTACTTGGTAAGAATCCTAATTTTTTTTTCCTTTTGAAACCTTTTCTCTTTAAATGAAAACGTTCATAAGTTCTTTTGCTATTTCCAGTTCTCCTTCTCTGCTTATTTGACATTGTCTTAGGGAAAAATGAATCTGTTTTAACTTTTCTTGCTTTTGTCTAGTCATTTGATTCTAGTCGTTGGAGTTGTTGAAAGAAAAACATGTTAGATATAGAAGTTTAATCAAACATAACAGCAGAGACAATATTAAGAAAGTTAAAAACTGTTACCCATACTCCTTTCCCTCATCGCCTTTAATATAATCTTGCTATTAAAGAAGTAAAGGAGGAGGAACAATTAAAACTGAACAAACATGGGTTTTAAGTCTTCTTTGAACCCTGATATAAGCCCTCTATCTTGTGTTTCCTTCACTTGCTGATTTCATGATATTTGACTTTATTTTTCTGTTTATAGACTAGATTTTGTTGTTCATCTGGTCTTGCACTTCTATCTCTTACCACTCTGGTTTTTTTGGCCTAAACTTTTCTCACTTTAACTTTTCTATTTGTCTAGATTTTATCTCTATCTCCTGGCCTTTATAATTTTTTTGCTAACCCAGTGCTTTTCTTTCTAAAAGTATTTGTTAGATGTGTGGAGCTGAGGTATATATAGAATATCAGTACAAGAACTTTAAGTCTGAGGGTAAATGGAGGAAGCAACAAGCAAGAGGTAGAATATGGGAATCTGAGGAAATACCCAGTAATAAAAGAGTCAAGCAGGGACTGACAAGAGTATTTCTTCCCTGTTGTCAGAAATTATTGTATTCTTTCTGCCTGCTTCATAGGATTGAAGTGTTTGTACTTAGTAACTACAAATAGTGAATGTGGGGAAGGACATGTATGTTACACTTTACATTGTTCAGCTTCTGTATTTGATCTTCAGGAGTACCTTGCATTTTAAAGGTAGTGGTTCACAATATTTCAACCATATATTAAATTGAAAGATAAAACTTAGAAAGATACTTTAGTATTACGGCAATACAATTTAAAGGATGTTTTGTTTAAAAATTGAAACAGTAATTTTCAAAACTTTTAATAACTGGCTTTAATATTGGTATGGTGGTGAGTTTTTAATATAATTTAGGAAACCAAGAATATAAATTCAACAGGATTTTCATACGTTATTTTTGTTTTTGGGAGCTTTTAGGACAATATTGTTTAACTTGGCTGGGGTGGGTATAAACCATAGAAATGTTACATAAAATACTGTGTTATATGCATCTTTCTGGAGTTTTCTAAGGGTTAACAACTTTAAAAAAAAGTCTGTATGATTTTGAAAGTAATGATTTTTTTTAACTTCATTTTTTTTGCATGTTCACTTTTTAAAAACAGAAAACTGGTGGTCACTACTTGAGCCTCCACTATTCCTCAAGATAGTAGAACTTTTTAAGGAAGTTGTGGTACATCTTTTGAAACTCTACAAGATCGGTATTCCTCCTTCTGAAAGAAGACTTTTCAACAGTTTTCTTCATACTGCATTGAAGGTTTTAGAAATACTACATAGGGTATGTCCAATAGTTCCTTTATTTTCCTCTTTCCCCATTCCTATTAACAGATCGATAATGTTCATTTTAACATTAATCTATTAAAGATTTGGATTGGCAAAAACAATAATGTATATTATAAAAATTCGGAAAAGTTATCTATACTTTCCCTTAAAAGAAGTAACTTGTACTTTGGAGCTTTGGTCTTACCTGACTTTGTTAGGCATGTATAGATAACTTGTGTATAACTTGTCTATAATTGTTAGGCATGTATAGATAACTTGTCTATATAGTATGTTATAACAGTAACATACTAATGAGTTAGAATTCTCCTTATATTTATTTCCTTATGAAGAATATAATTTGTTAGGTTGCATTACATGTTTTTGTTACCTATAAGTGGTTTTCATATGAAAGAAATTTGGTCCTAGTTGTAATTATGAACATTTAAACTCGTGTTCTTTTGATATAGTGTACTAATGGCCTCAATTAAAGTAGAACATTTCATTTGAAACAAATGAGTAATTTAAAATTGGAACCATATGTAATTCATTAATTTGCCTATTATTCCCTGCCCTTCTTCCCAGTTTTAAAAATAGTACCCTTTATACTTGTAGTAGTTCAAAATTATATGAAGAAGTAGACTCTGAGCTGTTTCATTAAAGATGGATTTCATCCCTGACAGTAGGTATATCTCCGTTATGCCATTTGGTTTTCTCAAGTTGTTATTTAGATGAGACATGACCTAAGAGAGAAACATATGTGTCAAGCCTGTGGAATGACTAAAAAACCCACATGAACCTTTCATCTTTAGTTTCTTCTCCTTAACAGCTTCTTTGTATTTTCAGATCCTCTTGCCTAGTACTAAGGTAAATAATAAAGGGATAAAGGAGATAATCCATCTGAACATTTCCCAACCACTTATTTTCCTATTTTAGTGAAGTTCCTGGGTATTTTTCTCAGCTGCTTAACTTTATGGATTTACTTTTTTATCTTGTATTTAGTATGTCCAAGATTCCTAGGAAAACAACTCATTTTTCCCCATTTTGATTGACAAAATCATCATAGCCATATATTTCCTAGGGGAACAGGTTATTTTATTTATTTATTATTTTTTTTGAGATGGAGTCTCACTCTGTTGCCAGGCTGGAGTGCAATGGTGCAATCTCAGCTCACTGCAGCCTCCGCCTCCCCCAGTTCAAGTGATTCTCCTGCCTCAGCCTCCCGAGTAGCTGGAACTACAGGCATGTGCCACTATGCCCAGCTGATTTTTGTATTTTTAGTAGAGATGGGGTTTCACCATGTTGGCCAGGATGGTCTCAATTTCTTGACCTCATGATCTGTGTGCCTTAGCTTCCCAAAGTACAGGGATTACAGGCATGGGCCTGCACGACCAGCTGGAAACAGATCATTCTTATGTTTGCCAGAATAAGGTTTTCTTTTAGCATATCAGGGTCTAGGTCTGCAGTAAACTGCTATTAAGAAGATTCTCTAACTTCATGGATGGGTCTCCACATTTCTGTGTACTTTTTGCGATTAGAAAGATTAATTCGTTTTTTTTTTTTCCCCTCTGGACTTCTTACTACTTTGGTGAACCATCCCTTTTCAGCTGGACCCTATTACCAAATAATACTCTTTCTTTGCTTTCATTATCTGCTTGTCTTTAGTCCCCCTTTAAAAAGTACTTTTTTTTCTTAGCTGTGTCTTTTACTTCAAGAAAATGGAAGGGAAGAGAAGGGGAGGAAATTGAACATTTTGGTTTTCAAACTACAGGCAGGACTTAAGTAAGTTAAATAACCTGCCAGCTCAGTAACTTCAGTCTTAACTGAGGAAGAACTTTGAGTTTCATCTGCAGAGACCTTTTTGATGGACTCATTCTAAATACTAGAATCTTCACATCTTGCTAATTGAAGTGGAAGGGTAAAGAACATTTATTGTTTGCTAACCACAGCTAGGACTAGAACCTCCTTTGTTTGTAGGTCATGTGAATAATTTTTAAATATATTTAACTTTTAAAACCCTATATAGTTGGTATTTTGCTCCTTTTTATAGACTGGAAAAATGAATATCCACATCAAAGTAAGCAGTAGAGTTGAAATACAAGTGTCAGTCTTCTACAAAGTCCCTGCTGTTTCTACTGTTCTTATATTAGCAGATGTAATTATCTGTTTAGAAGGGGGATTGATTTTCTTTTATGCCCCTAGATATAGAAGTTTATATTATAGATCACTTGCAGTATTATGTTATAGGCCCTGGACTAGGAATCAAAAAAGACCATATTTCTAACCCGGTTGTGTTGCTTCCTACCACTGAGATTTTGAAGAAGTCTCTTTATTCCATATGCAAATGAAGAATTATCTCTAAAACATGGATTAGTCTACGGCCCTACCACCCTGAATGCACCCGATCTCATCTGATCTCGGAAGCTAAGCAGGGTCGGGCCTGGTTAGTACTTGGATGGGAGACCTCCTGGGAATACCGGGTGCTGTAGGCTTTGGAAAAAATAAAAGGAAAAACAAACAAACAAAAAACCATCGATTAAAATACCAGCCCTGATAGTTTTCCAAAATTTATGTATTGTTTAAATTATACAATATGGGCCAGACGCAATGGCTTATGCCTGTAATCCCAGCACTTTGGGTGACAAGGTGGGCGGATCACTTGTGGTCAGGAGTTTGGGACCAACCTGGCCAACATGGTGAAACCCCATCTCTATAAAAAATACAAAAAAAAATTAGCCAGGCATGGTGGTGGATGCCTGCAATTCCAACTACTCGGGAGGCTGGGGTAGGGGAATTGTTTGAACCCAGGAGGCAGAGGTTGCAGTGAGCCAAGATCACACCACTGCACTTCAGCCTGAGTGAAAGAGCAAGACTCTGTCTCAAAAAAAAAAAAATAATACAGTATATGTAAGTTATACATTCATAAGGCAGTGATTTTGTTACCACCACCACTTGGGTGAAAAACCACTACTTTTTACTTGAAGAAATTATTGGGTTATGAGGAAACTGGGTTCTTCTTTGAAGTAGTTATATAGTCAAAAGCAGGATGATACTGGTATGACTTTCTTAAACATCTCTTTCTGGGAGACTTTAGAGCAGTGAGTAATCTTTCTTCTACCCCTTAGAGGAATTTTTGCTTCATCCTACTCTGCCATAAATAGATATCTGGATATGAACTATGAGGGATGATTTATTTGTATAATTCAAGAAACCTATTACTACGAAAACTTGTTTATTCAAAGACTCCTTGTATCTGACAACTGTATATTCCTTTCCTCTGTTCTGTTGTTAAGAATTAAGGCGAATTTCCTTAGTTTCCTTCTTTATCTAACCCTGGAGCAGGATTATGAACTAGAGAACTGGACTTTGTGTTCCTTATTTATTTCAGGATTTATGAATACACTTGTTCCTCCCATATATCATGTCCTTTGGAAAGTTTTTGAATTAACAATCATTTTCAGTGCTCCAAATGGCATCATAGGAAAATACCTTTGGTATGTGCTGTCAGGAATGGATGTATTATCAGGTAAATGAGTTTACTGGCAAATAATTGAGTTATTTAGTAGTTTCCGAGTTCCATGTAGTACATTATAGACATGTTGGTATGCCAAAAGAGAAGCCTTACTTGGTCTGTCTAGCCTAGTTGCTACATATTTGTGTTGATCTAAATCAGTGATTTTTCAAACTATTTTATGCAGAACCCTTAAATACACCAAACAGATACATACTCACCATAACCACCCTTGAACTGAAGTGTTTAAGCAGGGATACTAAACTTTAATTATAATGTGAAATAAAATGTTATAATCAAACTTACATAGATTTTATTTTGTACATTTAGGCAATAATCCTAAACGTATAGGTTGTTTTGAACGTCTACCATGTGACTTCTTTTTTAAATTCATTTTGCAAATATTGAGTGCCGACTATATGCTTATTATTATATTAGATATTAGGGATGCAGTGATAAAAGATATGATTTCTGCCCTTGTTGAGCTTACAGTGTTGAGAGATTGTATAAACTTTTTGGTCTTTATGTTATAGCATGGTAAGTACTAGATTAGGAAAAATGCAGAGTGTATGAGAACACTTGCGTGGGCATGTAACTATGAAGGAAGGACTAAGGAAAACCTGGAGAAAATGATGGCTTGTTGAACCTTCTTTACCATGCAAGTATATTATTTTTATTCTAACATTAACATGTCTTTTCCAAAAACGTATGTATCATATAAGCAAGATATACAAACTGCAAACACTGGTTGCATTTCTTTAATTTTTTTTCATAATTTTTGGGGGTACATTGTAGGTGTATCTTTATGGGATACATGAGATGTTTTGATACAGGCATGCAATGTGTAATAATCACATTATGGAAAATGGAGTATCTATCCCCTTAAGCATTTCTCCTTTGTGTTATAGTCTTATAGTTTTTTAGTTATTTTTAAAAGTACAATTAAATTATTATTGACCATAGTCACTTTGTTGTGTTATTAAATACCAGGTCTGGTCATGCATGGTGGTTCACACCTGTAACCCCAGCACTTTGGGAGGCTGGGGCCAGTGGATCACTTGAGGTCAGGAGTTTAAGACCAGGCTGGCCAACATGGCAAAACCCTATCTCTACTAAAAATTACAAAATTAGCTGGGTGTTGTGGCACATGCCTGTAATACCAGCTATTCAGAAGGCTAAGGCAGGAGAATTGCTTGAACCCAGGAGGTAGAGGTTGCATACAGTCAAAATTGTGCCATTGTACTCCAGCCTGGGCAACAGAGTGACACTCTTGTCTCAAAACAAACAAACAAAACCTAGGTCTTATTCTTTTTTTTTTCTTGCCTATATGCTTCACCCCTGCCTCCCCACTACCCTTCCCAGCTTCTGGTAACAATTCTGCTACTCTGTGTCTCCATTAGATAAATTGTTTTGATTTTTAGATCCTACAAATAAGTGAGAACATGTGATGTTTGTTTCTGTGCCTGGCTTATTTCACTTAATATAATGTCCTACTGCAGTTCTATCCA